CAGTTTTTCAATGTTCATATCGGAAAGACGTTATATATATTGCCAGTTAGGTCGATTTAAATTACTTTAACATATATTTAATTTATTCCTGCATCTATATTTCTAATCAATTTATTTCCCAGTCTGTCTTTTACACACTATACTTTACATTGATCTGATCTATACGTTTTTACAACGTATTCTTGCCTTCAAACGAAAAATAAGTTATAAACATCTTTTTTAACCATTCGACTTAATTTACTACATTTTTCTATTTGTGACTTAAAGTCCTACTTTTAAATATTTTACTATTTTTTATATATGTCATTAGACTCGTGAAAATGTCAACAAATTAATAAACAGCTATACGAGTCAAGCGCGGTACGTAGTGCGCAAGTAAAGAAATTAATAGTTACGGAAGTAACGCGCAAATTACAATGCATATATTATATATACATATATTCTAACTTAATAAACTGCGCGCCGATTATTTGTCTGACTTGAAACACAGCTATCGTTGGAACATTAATACCCTTCCCTCCCTGGAATTAAATCAACGCGATTTAATTATTTTAAAAAACTTAAGAATTTATTGCGAAAAAATTGCGGTTCTTGCGATAAATATTACCACATGCCTCGATAGTCAAATTGGTACGACGCCTTCCACGGAATGAGGGAAGTTCCAGGTTCGAATCCTGGCTGAGGTAATATTTTTTGCAATAAATTCTTTACAGTTTTTTAAAATAATTAAATTGCGTTGATTTAATTCCGGGGAGGGAAGGGTATTAATGTTCCAACGATAGCTGTGTTTCAAGTCCGACAAATAATCGGCGCGCAGTTTATTAAGTTAGAATATATGTATATGTATATTATATACGTTGTAATTTGCGCGTTACTTCTGTAACTATTAATTCTTTACTTGCGTACCGCGCTTGACTCGTATAGCTGTTTATTAATTTGTTGATATTTTTTATAAGTACACGTAACAATAATGTTTCTGACCTTTGTCATTGCCTCTTATCGAGGCAATTACCTTATATTCGTTTGTTTATTTCAATTTTTTAATTTATGTTTTCTGTTATTCTTTTGTATATTATGTAAATTCTCGGTAGGCGCCCTCTTTCTCTACGCTTCCAGCTAGAAAAATGGTGGTCGTAGAGGGCGAATCCCTCGTTAGGGAGAAGGTTCGACTGTGGGGCGATTGGGTGGCGCCCCCCGAAATTCCGAGGACACGGACACCCCGTAGCCACTGTCGTCTTTTGTCAGACCCCCGCTCCAAATTCCCGAAAAAAAAAACGCCTGCATCAGGATTTGGAATACCTGCTTAGGATTGAACCCGAATCTCTGGAACGTGAATCCAGCGTCTAACATAGTTGACTACTAACTCGCCTTTCCATTTAATAAAGTTTAATTGATAGCTTTTTATTTTCTATTTTTTGCTTTTAAAGGTGCCAATTCATGAGACGCTGAAAATGAGCGTCAACAAGGTGAACGTAGTGGTTTCGCTTTGACGCTAGCGTCAAAGAAATGAAGTTGAATTTGTTTAATATTCAGCGTCGTCGCTGAATCGTCGTTAATCGTCCCAGTACAATTAAACATAGACTTCGAAATACGTAAAATATTAATTATTTTCAAGTAATATCTTCAAGTAATAATATTTTATGGATACATATATAAATAAAAGATATTATTTCTGAAGATTTTTACTTGCTAAAAATGAGCGTCGAGCGTTAACGTGAAAAGGCACCTTAACTCATTTTTATGTGATTAACTTTATTTTTGTGCTACAGAAGACTTAGTACAGTCGAAATGTTTATATTGTTTCTTTAACTACTGAAGAATAAATTATCAAAAAAATGAAAAGGAGAATAATTTCTTGGGCGATAACGACGTATATTAAGGAGGTTGTAAGGCTCAAGTGCAGTGGGGGGCGTTTTCATACAAAGGAAATATGGACGAGCGCTGCCAATCTGAAATATTGATATTTAAAATAATATCGATTTAAAATTTTGAAAAAAATATAAGATGTAATGCAGTTAAAATGCAAAGAATATAAATGTTTAATTTATGTGAAAGTCTCACATATAAATTTATATTTTTTAAACAAATTTTATTATTACTACAAATAATGACTTGGCAACGGAGTAGAAATGAAAAATCAAAGTTGCGTTAGAACTACCATCGATTGGCAGAATATAGACTCTCGATTTGGGTGCCAAAAGTTCAAGAAGTCTAATCCGTGAGAATGAGTACCACGGAGATTAGTACGTGTGAGTCGTGTGACGAGTACGATATGAACACAAGTAATACAAAAGTGTTAGGTCACATCTGTGCCGTAACTAGCCTGCATCCGGTGTAAGCTCAACATTTTGAGCCCCCCTCCCCTTCCAAATACTTTTAATAAAAAAGAACAATAAATATTTAAAAAATATCGATTATCTGACAATGCAACTTACGAGCCTTATGTGATGCACACAAACTCGTGAATAATATTTTCATGATTAAGTTGCCTTGTAATCGAGTTCTTTATGGACAAAATGTCCTTTGTCAGTTTCTGCTGCCCGGCGAACCTATATACAGTAGACTTTCGAGAAGTCAAGATCTGGTCACCTGGTGGTGCGCTCTCGAGGGGTTCGAGCCTTTGAGTCTGGAAGGAGAATTGTTTATGTCTCCTTTTTTCAACCTTTTTTATTTTATAGTTTTGCCTGCGTCTCCTTGAAGCTTGCACCCGGTGCGAGAGCACCGACGGCACTGCCCTAGTTACGGCACTGGGTTACATTTTACTACCTAATTACACTGGGTGAGAATCTTTTTTGCGTTTTCAACAGCGTTGTCAAGTTTTCTTCATCACACAGCTTGAATGACAGAAGTATTACATATTGACTTATTTTTTAGTATTGCAAATAAACTATACGGTGAAATGGCTTGAACTTTGAAACAATTTCAATATGCTATACTTTACATATTACACAATTTTATTCGTTTCTTAATATTTTAAATATCTGTTTTTGTTAAAAATAGATATGGAGAATCGAGTTTCTCATAAGAGTCCATTATAAAAATGTAGAACTTTGATATTAATTAATTTATGTAAAAATGGGCCGGTGAAAAAATATAAAAAAATTTTCATGCAACCATTATTTGTAAAGAAAATTATATTCATGCCGTTCTTAACATTTTGCATTTTCCTTACAACCTCCTTAATGCGAAATATTTACATTTCGGATTTTGCATCGCAATATATCTCCATTCGTAGAACGCGTAGACGAAAAATAAAAACACTTATTATATAATTCAAACACAAGCTATCGATTAACCTTAAAACTTGATCGGTTCAGCCATTTTATGAGATCCGATAATCTAAGGGTCTTTCAACATGACAGTTTACGTATAAAGCGGGCTACACACAGAGATATGTATCAAGAAACGGTATTGTGATACCGTCACTGATCTGAGACATGTGTACTATACACACACTGCGATATATAACAGATATCACGTGTCTCTAGTACTGAGTGCGTGACTTTTGGTAGTAAAGTGCCAACTTTTTATAGTGGCGGTTAGCGGGGATCTGTCGCGAGATTACCTTACACACGCGAAAACAAGCTAAAACATATCTCATCAGTATCATTATTTCGGTCTTTTTGTATTCCATCGACAGCGGGAGACTAGATTCATGTATCGATACTTATTGACACTGTATGAAACTTTCGGAGACGTACTTACACACGATGAGACATGTCTCATGAAATGGTATACGATATCGTTTATTGATACATATCTCTGTGTGCAGCTCGCTTTAAGATACATGATCTATCTCGCTGCGCGTACACTTAGCGCGAGAGAGAGACACCTCTGTATATATACCTCTGTAGCCCTATTCTGTAACTCTAACGACAGTATCGGTATCGTTATATCGTCGTTACGCAGCTTTTTTTCCATATAATATACCTGCGCAATGACATCATAACGATAACGACACTATCGTTAAGAGTTACAGAATAGGGGTACTGGATAGATAATTTCCATAATTTCCTTATTGTTTGTATTGTGACCGCATTGATCTTCTTATATTGAAGAAAATTGTTTATTTGTATTAGTTTTGTCTGCTTGGTTTGAATCTAGTTTTAGATAAACAATTAAGTTAATAATTATATTCTATAAGATATTAACAAAAATGTAATAAATAGACATCGGATTTTTTATGGCAATTAAAAGCAATTAATAACTAAGATTATGTTATTTATAATATCCAACATATTTATACCTAACATATGTTGTAGTATGAATATGTTGGATATTATAAATAACATAATTTTAGTTATTAATTGCTTTTTTCCACCAATCTGCATATAAAAAATCCGATGTCTAGTAATAAAGTTTTCTTTTATGAGAGACTCCTCGCTGTCAGTTGTGTCGATTTTTATTGTATCACCAGTAAAGGGTCAAAGTTACTGCTTCATGATGCTGGGAATAAGAATTTTATTAATTTTAATATGTGCATTATTCCTCGGCAATTTGAAATAGCTCTCAAGGTTTTCTTTGTACAATAGCCACGTATTGTACGAAGGGCAATAAAGGGCAATGCGGTTACGTGGCAGATGATGTGATATAGAAGTTGGTCTATCATGGACGTTGCTGATTTAAGAACTTCGGGGTAATGAACGGTAGCTACTTTCGCTTTTCTAATTGAATGAAATACTTTCTAATTGAAACTAAAATGTAATATCTGAACTCTAAGGAACTCCTCCCACTGTGGGAGGAATGGAAAGGCTGTGTTGTGGAAGAACGAGCTCCGTGTTTATGATAACGGATGCATGCTGTCACTCACTTGTCTATTTTAAATCTCTCGAGTACTCGTTTCGTTCTATCGTGCGAAGAATGCGAGCCAAGGAGCCAGGCAGTTCCGATATTCTCTAAGCCGAGGAACTGACTCCTCTCATAGTCGGTGCACCGGCGTGCATCGTCGGCGCTGGTGTATACGGAACTCGTATCCGACGAGGGCGAGAAAGCTCTCATGACTTTTCTCTGTGAAAAGCCTCACTTATTAGTACAATAAATGGAGTTGCATCTGTACTCCGTGCTCGATTAATTGAACATCGACTCACTTGGAAAACATGCCGTCCGTTTCTCACCATCTACAACTGCACTTCTTCGTATACCTCTTGACCTGCGTACGTCGAGAAATTCCATGCCATATCGGCATTGTTGGCTATATCCTGTGCAGTGTGGAGCACTGTTGCAATTATAAAGGAAATGTCGAGTACTTGTTTCAGTTTCCTTGACACAAGTTGAAAAACGCATGCGTGAAAAAAAATTTTCCACGTGGATGTAATTATCGGGTATTACCGATATAAGTACAGAGTCCACTGATAACGAGCTAATGAGATAATGAGATAATGCTTGCACACTGCAGAGCCATAAAAAAACAGCTACACTTGGATGTCAAAAAAATACGCGCTTTAAGCGGAGCAGAACTGTGAAATGCAGCAGCAGATGTATCAGCTGAGCAAGCAATCGATACGAGCCTGCGCAACAAGCGTATCCACACGAGACAGGTCTGTAGCTATGGAATAAACCAATGAAAGTATTGTGCGATTCAAGTTTTCGAACGATGGGATTGATTTTCATGTCAAAGACACAAATAATCTATGTAAAGCTTTGAAAATCTTCAATAAGCATGCAATATGTCGTACCTCCGTTCCTCCTGCGATTCGAATGTACACGTGAAAGTATTTTTCTCTGTCATTTTTCTGAATAAAGTGTACGAGACTTCAGATGCAGAACGCGAATATTCTACACGCTTAACGCACGGTCGCACTTTCCGCTCAGCCGTGTGCGAACGCGTTTTCCAGCGAATTCCCCACTGGCGCTTAAATTTAATCGAATCAACGAGCTATTTTGCACTTCCGAACGCACGGAAATTTTTTGATGAGTCCGTCAAGCGCGAAAAAATTCGCGGACGATGCTAGGTTGCGCGGGAAACGCGATGGACACGATTTATTTATGAAGAACGATGAAAGGCGAAGTTGGAGATCACTCGTTACGAGGTGATGCACACGTGCTCTACCGGTGAACGCACATCGCGATGTGGTAACGGAATGACTGTATAAGAAGATGCGTGGTGGAAACACGTTTTGGAAACAGGATTGACAGAGATGAAGTTGATCTTTATCTGAATTCCAAACGTTGAGCGGTCGAACATTGAAATGAGATTCAAACTGGTTTGCATTTCTTACGTGTACATTGTTACGAACGCGTGCATTAGGAAGAAACAAAATGTCGTCATTTATTTTTCTGCAAAGATGAAGAACACGTCATATAAGATTCAGTGAAATTACGAATTCAATAACTTCCAATTATTTTTTTTATTTACATTAATTTTTTTATACATTCGGACATCGTTTATATCGCAACTTTTTTTAATGTTACACGAAAAAAACGATATGGTTGCCATATCCAGAAAATAGTAACATTTAGCGCAGCCATATCTGTGGTTGTCACACCCACATGGATCACTATACACCTATATATGGTTGGGACAACCATCGAGAATTGATACCAGCGCTGGCGCGGTGGTGCGGCAACTATAATATAGTTAAGACACCACATCAATGTGGGTGTAACTACCACCAGATATGGCTGCGCCAAATGTTACTATTTATTTGGCTGTGGTAACCATATCGCTTTTTTCGTGTAACATCGATAATTCACATTTGACAAAGTTCCTAAAATTTTATCATTGATAACGATAAAACGGCAATTCCAAACTATGCGATTTTAACTGACGATCTTGGATCAGCAAGCAGTTCGGCTACTCGTATACACGGAAAAAAATAATTCTGCTATTGTAGCAAAATCGTCATTGCTACTGGATTGCTATTCATAGCGACAGCAACAACAATGTAGTAGACACAACTAATTTTACGAATTATTCGTCATTAGAACAAAATCTGTTTTATTGCGAGAAAAAAATTTCTGTGTGTATTTGTCTTTAGAATTAGGGGAGACCGGGGCTAACTCGACACTATTTTTTTAAAGGCAATTTTTAATATTTAATTATAAATTTTTAGGCAAATTCAATGGTACATATTTAAAGAGTGTTCCTTCAGGTACAAAATTGATTCAGAAAGTTTTGCTGTACGTCGCTTTGTTTTGCCGCCAGGAAAGGAAAAGTGACGCGAAGACAAATTTTCGAATTGAAAAATGCCGGGGCAAACTCAACACTTTGTCTGATTGACACAATTTGATCTGGAACTTATTTTTTACTGTCTGAAAATGAAAATACATTGTTTATTGTGTATTTAAAAAGTACAAAAATTCGGAATAAAGTAGCTAGAACAATCATTTGAAATAACGAGAACAAAAATTGTTGAACTTTCAATTATCTTCATCTAAACTCATGTCTGAAAAACAATAGGTAAACTCGCGATCGGACGTGTGCATACATTTGTCATGAGCCATACAGCTGCATGACAAGCATCGTTTGTTACTGGGAGCCGACGAAACGGGGCGTGGTGTTGACTTTGCCCCGGACGTCGTTTTTCACTTTTGTCACTTCAAAAACATGAAAATTTTGAAAATATCCAAAAACGATTATCGGATTCATATAGAGCATCAAATTTTCCATAAAAATCACTTACATATAGGTTTACAAGAGTAAAGCTCGATGAAAGAGTAGAAATTTTCGAGAGATCAGAAAAATTACTTTTCAGTCTTTCACCATCAAAAACGCTTATGTCGCGCTAAAAATTACACCATAACTCAGAATGTCATCAAATCCCGTTGATAATACTGGCACAAAAAGACGCATTTACAGTAGGAAAGGCAAGTTTCTATGATAAGATTCTAGATTTAAATTAGCAAGAAGTCTAGTGTCAAGTTTGCCCCGATGTCGAGTTAGCTCCGGTCTCCTCTACGTTAATTTGCTATTGAAGCAAAATAATGTATTCTTAGCAGATACATTTGCTATCGGAGCAAAATCACTATACTCAATAGCCTTTGTCGCCTCACTGATCGAAGAGAGAAAACAAAAGGGGATGATCACAAGGAAATGTTTGAAACTGTCCCTCACATTTTTGATGGGCTTTGAAAGAAATTCCATATATTTGATTATGAGTGAATATCTCCGAAACCGCGTATATGAAAAAATGTTTTAGACAAAAAGTACGGTATTAAGTGATTTTTGTAACTGTGTATTTAGATTTTTTTTATGTCATATTTTTTAACATGTCCCCACTCTTTAATGTTATTTTTGTAAAATATGAACATACTTCGAAGCCGATAAAAAAATACGTGTGTTATTTTGCTCTGCTTTACAATATGTATATCCAAAGCCCATCAAAATCGATGAGAGACAGATAATTAATATTCATCGCGCAAATTCCTAGTATTCATGCTCTATATGGAAGTAACATGTGCACGCTGTGTCTATAAGCACGTGTGGTCTATAAGTGAACGAGTGTTGTATTCTATGAATATTAGTTGCTTTCCATTTACACTCAATAAGTGATCTGAGTCACTCAGTTATGTGAGTATTTTATACTCAGGTAAGATATGTCATTTATTGTATTTACCTGCTTATTTTGGTGACAGAGCTATCGCATAATATAATACAGGTCCATAGTCTCACTTTTAATGTGAGTTTATTAGATTTATTAAAGCACATGGTCTTGATTGTGGATAAAAACTCAGTTGAATCTCACTTGCCAGCATGCAAAAAGAACGTGCATTTAACTGAGTTATAACGTCACAAGTGAGAATTATCTGAGTTTTGATGTAAATTGAAAGCAACTATTGTGTCGTTGTATTCTCCTTTCTACAAAAAAGGAAGTTCCATTTGTGTCCGCAAGAACTTGGCTTTGCAAACAGCACATTGTTTGCAAGTCTCAATATTCATAAGATTCCTTATTTAAGGGTAACTAATATAAACGCAAGAGTCGCATGCTTCCGAGTGATATTGGTCTGATCCACTAATTTGTCTGTATGTGTAGCAAAATATGTAACTAATCTTTTTACTGCTGTGTCAGCAAAGGAAATTTGGTTTATTAACGGATTTCATTACAGCTAAATTATTAATTACTCCAGCAAAAGAAGTTAAGTAAAGCAACAATGCACATTAAAACATCTGAAATATTTACTCGCAACCATATACTCAAATAGTATAATAAATTATAATATTATAAGTAATATAGTATAATATTACTTAATTACTATAAGTAATATAGTATAATATTACTAATGTAAATACACATAAATATTTACATATTAATATAAGTATACGATAATAGTTATTTGTGTAACAAGTGAGGTAAGATGAAAATTCCCGGGTGCGGAGTTTACGCACGAGCCGAAGGCGAGTGCGGTAACCGCATCCGGGAATTTTCATCTTTACACACGGCTTACACTCCCTATTTTATGTTGCAAGTGCCTGGAAAGTGGTCTATCACGCACGCGTAGCGTGCGTAATGGGGCACTTTCCATGCACGTGTTGCATAAAAAAACATTTTGTATTTGAGTAGATTTCTATTCGTGTAGAAATTTTTGTGTTATATTTTTGACATACACTGGTGTTAATGTAACATATATTGTCATTGTGTTATTTTGACTTTTTTCTGCGTTAAGTTATTATTCAACGTTTTCTAAGAGTAAAAATAACACAATTTATGTGTAAATGCACGAATTTTTGGTGACATATTTTATATGTTAAAATGAACACCTAAATTACTTTCCTCTCTATAAGAGTTATTATCTGTTAAATCAACATTTTTCTTATGTTATTTAATATAAATAGATATCGCTGTCTTCTGTTTTTTTGCAAGAAAAAGAGAAGGAAGAATAACATTTAATGTAAGAACAACATTTTATTTTAATTACATTTAACATTATAAGGCCATAACCCGTCTCTCTTAACGATGTTGGTGGGACCGGGTCTTAACATGTTAATTTAACATAAACTTTGCTTCCAGATATTACAGCGTCCATGTATTACAATTTCGTGTTGATTTTTCACGTATTACCTGTGTTATTTATTTACATATTTGCCTTCTGTTAAATTAACATAAAAATTAGAGTGGATAAATTGGGACATGTGAGATGTGTTAAATTTACTACAAAATTTTTTACTGAATTTTTTACTGAGTACTTAATAATGAGAAGAACTTAAATTACTAATTACTTACTACTATTACTAATTATTTACTTCCCTCTTACGGAGAAACTGCACGTTGATTGGCTATTGTGACACTTCTTGGTGCGTGGTAAGCGTCTCCGCGTGCTGTGCACATTGCAAAAGAGTCAAGTTCCACTTGGCGATCGCGTGGACCGCGAACGTCATTCTGTTTTTGTTCCTCACTGGATGTTAAATAGAAACGGAATGATGTCCCGCATCAACGCGATCGTCAAACGTCTATTGTTCACTCTTACTGCGTTACTGCGTAGGAATAGTGCCTATAAAGGCCTTCAACCTTCGACACTCCACACTAAGTCGACAAATTTTTCAAACGTGTTGACTGGTTGCAAAATAGAAAAGTTCTCGAGTTTCTAGAAATTTTCTATTTTGTAGCCAATCAAAACGCTTAAAAAATTTGTCGTACGACAAATGAAATATTACCCTAACTGCGTGGGCGGAAGTGAGGCATTGTGATGACTAGCTACGCGCCGCACTTAGCTAAAATAATTTGCAGTAACAAAGATAATTTCAACAAATATAGGTTTGCTTTATAAACAAATTGACGATTGCTTTCATTACATAACTTCTTTGCTACATTAAGGGGTCATGCCTAGTTGGAAGTGCATAATTTTCGGGGATTTTTATAAGAAAGTCAATTTATTTTTTCTTACAACAAAAAGTTGACATCAAAAGTACAATATTGAACAACATTCAAAATTTTTTTCGTTGAAAAATATTGCAAATTAAGGAAGTTACGGCCACTTTTGATTTTTCAGAGGTGTCGTGCGGTGACCACGATAACTCCAAGCCAAATCATCTGAAATAAAAAAACCAAAAAGATTCTGTTAGTATATGAATATATCTTGTTCGTGAACGAAGAGGGTTCTTTTTTTAATGAAAACTTTTTTTTTATTGAAGAAAAACGAAAAATTAAGAGCCCGAATAATTGCGTTTTTCCTTAAAACGGCCGCCATTTTGTTAAAAATTATTTTTTCAAAAAATCCTTCGTTCACGAACAAGATATATTCATATACTAACAGAATCTTTTTGGTTTTTTGATTTCAGATGATTTGGCTTGGAGTTATCGTGGTCACCGCACAATACCTCTGAAAAATCAGGAGTGAGCCGTAACTTTCTTAATTTGCAATATTTTTCAACGAAAAAAATTCTGAATGTTGTTCAATATATGTACTTTTGATGTCAACTTTTTGTTGTAAGAAAAAATAAATTAACTTTCTTATAAAAATCCCCGAAAATCATGCACTTCTAACTAGGCATGACTCCTTAACAAATCTGCTTATTTATAACGTTTAATTTTTTCCAATAAGCTACAGATTTACTGAATTAAACAAAACAAATCATTTTTTTTCGTGTTACGGGTCGTACATTGTTACGAACGCATGTATTAGAAAGAAATATAATCATGTCATTTATTCTTCTGCAAAGGTGAAGCAAACGTCATATAAGATTCAGTAAAATTACGAATTCGACAACTTCCAATTATTCTTTTTATTTGCATTAACTTTTTATACACTCAGACATCGTTTATGTCGCAACTTTTTGTAATGTTAACATCGATACAACATTCACACCCGACAAAGTTCCTGAAATTTTATCATTGACAACGATAAAACGGTAATTCATAAACGGTATATCCAAGCCGCGAATTTAACTGTCGATCTTGGATCAGCAAGCAGCTCGGCTGCTCGTATATAAAGATTTGCAATTCTAGCAAATTCGAGATTGTATGGACGTCGTAACATACGCGTGGAAATGATCGAGTCTCGTGCGTACGTAATAAAGTGCAGTTGCTATAACACTGTATATATTTAGCAACAATATTATGTAAATTAAGTAGACACCGCGATCAGAAGGTGATCCGTATTCACGCCATGTTAAGCGTGCGCTCTTTATTAATTCTTCATTACAGCCATCAACTTATATGTACAGAGTGTCACCTAATTCGCGCCCACTATTTACACAGTGATATTCTTTATCAAAAATTTAGTCGAAAAGTCCTGAACCATTTTTTCCCTATAATGCTTAATAGTAAAGCAGTAATTATTGAGTAAAGGCAATCCACTCACAATCAGTGCCGTCCTTTAGCCGGTCGTACCCGTACGTCAGTGACCCGCGCGCCTGAGTAGATAGTATGAGTGAGCGCACACTACCAGGCGCGCGGCTCACTGACGTAAGCCCGGCTAAAAGACAGTGCTGATTGGATTGACTTTACTTAATAATTACTGTTTTACTGAGCATTATAGAAAAAAATGGCTCAGGACTTTTCAACTCAATTTTTGATAAAAAATATCGCTGTGTAAATAGTGGGCGCGAATTAGGTGACACCCTGTATATATAATGTAATATAAATTATCTATATTAATGTATATTAATATTATCCCTAAATATTATATATCGGTGGAATCATGTATAAATTAAATATATACGATTGGAATGAGAGATCTAGCTTGTAGGTATCAATTGTAAACAAAATACGCGAATACGCACCGACTCTTGCACGTTTATAACAATCTCTCGCCTGAACGAAAATGTTCTTGTCACGTCATCAAACGTCCAGAGAAAACGTCGAAGATATTTGTATACATAGAATTGTACGCACACATATGCTCTAAGCAGTTTTTTTGGATCAATTCCAATGGCTACTTACACTATCGGTTAATTTTAGCTTTATCTACATTGCTAATAAAAATAATTATCGCGTAGACGTCAGTCACAAAACAGTTGTGGAATTTACGTCTACGATTGTAACTATCGAGCGAAACTTGACATTTACAAAAGACACAAACATTTTTTAATTTATTTTTCTTTCCTAAATAGCGTAACTCGGCGCTCGATAAACTTACCGTTCGAACATTCCTCGGAATTCACATCTTTGATTCTGACGTTGTTGCCACTTTCTGTCAAAAGAACTTTCTCGGGTGTCCGACTTCCATCCGTTGTTCTCCACTCTCCACTGCGAGTCTGTATGACTTGCTTCGGAAAATTAAAGATAAATTGGACCGGAACTTTCGTAGATAACGAGTTTTCGCGAATTCATCGCTGACGCAAACTTTTTATCGGTATTTGATCGGAAACGATCATTGATTAATTCTTCAGGACGAGCGAACAAATTTCTCGAAAACGAGTTTGCCAACGGTGTATTAATCAGTTCTTCGGTTTTTGTTGCAAAAGATGGTCTCACGTCATTGTCGCGTCACATAACGTCGCAGAGTGAAAGTACAAAAATATAATTTCAGGATATGTCGATGTATATATATTAATGTCGAATGTAAGGATCTGCAAAGAACAAATCCATATTTCCTTCAAACTTTTTACAGTGCGTTAAGACACGTAAGAGATCAGCCTACGAAACGTACATTTTTGGACAAATTATTTGTCGAATACCTTCTCCTCGCTCTCGTGTCGCAAACACGAATATTGTAAATGCAAGTTATAAAAGTAGCTCTTTACCGCAACTCTTCACCGGCTAACTTTATTCTTGTAAATTCACGAAATAAACGTGTCACGCGATTGTATGTTCATTTATTTAGAAACTTCCTGTGAACGCCATGTGTATCAGTGTCGCTTAAATACACGCGGTGAAATTTTATTTTGTTCGCAACACACATGCACACATACATATATTCACATACACGCGCACACCACACGCATACACGAACGGATTATTCAAAGGAAAATACATTTAAGAGGGTAGGCTTAAGAAGAGGGAGTTAGAAGTGGCCTCAGCTGCGCAGCCTCTTCATGATCCTCCGCGGAAACTTCGGGTTCGCGATTGCTGCTTTTCAACTTTCGCCTCGGTGGTCTCGTTTGCGGACCCTCCTTCGATCTCTCAAGATTGTCGTCTTCGTCGTTCCTCTCTGCCTTGGTTTCGATTTCTTCGACGCTACTCCAACTGCTTTCGCTCTCGCTGAACTCTTTTTTCTTCATGTTACCATTCACCCTCTCCTTCTCTTTTTCATTCTGTTCGCCAGTCTCCTACATTCGAGTAATTAATTGTGTTTAAAGTAGAATTGAATTGTGTGAATTGAATTATATACTGAAGAGATTATATACAAAAAGATAATTATTTGACTCTTTCATTACGATCGCTATTAAAACTGTCGTTACGTGTCGATAATCCTTAAAAGACTATTTGACTTTGTTGAGTCAAAAAAAATATATAAATTATTTTTGAAGTGAAACTTCTTTAGGCACGGTAGTGAGTTCGATTCGCGACACGAAAAAGTGTAACGGAAGTGAAACTTCTTTGGTACGGTAGTAAGTTCGATTGTGTGACACGAAAAGTGTAACGAAAATTCGACCAATAGGCGTACGAAATGAAACTTCTTTGGTATGGTAGTAAGTTCGATTGTGCGACACGGAAAGTGTAACGAAAATTCGACCAATAGGCGTACGAAATTAAACTTCTTCAGTACAGTAGTAAGTTCGATTGTGCGACACGAAAAGTGTAACGAAAATTTGACCAATAGGCGTACGGCGTTGGCAAGACAATTCTTCTTCTGGCATGGTAGTAAGTTCGATTATGCGACACGAAAAGTGTAACGAAAATTCGACCAATAGGCGTACGAAATGAAATTTCTTTGGTACGGTAGTAAGTTCGATTGTGCGACACGAAAAAACGTCACGAAATAGTGTCACGAAAATTCGACCAACAGGCGTACAAAGTTAAACTCCTTTTGGATCGGTAAGTAAATTCGATTTTGCAACTCAAAAACGCGTCACAAAAATTCGATCAGGCGTACGGCACTGGCGAGACGGATATAGTAAGAACTGCGTGTAACACTATATTTTCGAGTTGCGGGCGGCTTGGAGTGACTAATTCCGTTCCATTGTTTTTGTATTAATTTCAGAAAAGTTATGGCAAAGCCTTGCCTTCAGAAGTTTCACTTTTAACGCGCGTGGCGACCACGCGTTCATTTTTTTTTAAATATTTATATAATTATTTAAGATAATTGTGCAATTGTATAAAATTTCGAATTTACTTTATCACTTACCATGGCGAGAGATTTAAGCAGCGTAGTAGTTGTTGTCGTGGCTGTAGTCGTGTCCGTGGTATCGCTGCTCTCGCTGTTATTGTTCGGCCTGATCGCGGTTGACAGGGCGCCTTCTTCTAGATTTTTGCCACGTACGTGGCGCGTATGTGACGACCAGCCGTCCGAGTTCTTCGCGTTACCCTTGCCGTACTTCGGTGTCACGCCGGTGGTCCATACGCTTGCGTCGCTGCTTCCCGTGCTGCTCTCACTTCCGGTGCTGCAGTGTCGCCATCGGCGTTCTATGCACGCGCGATAAAACGAGAGCTCTCTTAAATAAGGTCAGACGCTAATCCAGTTAGAAGTAACTCAGTTACTTGGACGATCCATTCATTTGCAAATCTCCATATGAAACTAATGGCGAACATGTTCAGCGACGTTACGTTGAAAACTTACTTGATTTTTTCTTGCTTATAGAGAGAATAATATTATGCAAGACTGCGAGATTTTCGAAGAAAGGGAAAAAAAAAAAAATATCCGCGTCGGAGAAACTGGAACAAGAGGCGTGATAATTTTTATAAGTCGCGATTTTATTTTAGAATTGCAAATGCGATTGAAGCAAACACTATCTACAAATGTTAGCATGCGACGTACTTTCGCACGGCGGTGGATTAGTATTGGAATTGAGGGGTTTTCTCAGAAGGGGGCTGCCTCCGTCTTGGCTCTCCTCGCTGTACGCGCGCGTTATGAGGATCCTCGGGCTTCTCCTCGGGGTCTCGCACATAGCTATGGAGCATTCCGCGCCCGAATCCGCCCCGATAAAGTCGCTCCGATAATGGGGACCCATCAGACTGGCGGCACTCGCGCTCGCCCTCACCAATTTGCTCGGCTCACCTTCGCGCGCCATGATGAAAGGACATGACGCTCATATCAGTGTCGGAACGTTTATCCATTATCAAAGAGTTTATCCGTCAAGGATCTTTCGATTCATTTTACTAGAAATCTTTTTTCTTTTTCATAAAGATATATTCGCGTTAAAGTGTAAGGGAACTGTCGGTTCTCGGTTGCGAATTATGACGAGTTAAGAACTATTTGAATATGACGGAAGCACGGGTTGTATCTCGATAAAATGGTATCAGCGGGCAAGGATCGCGTACCTGATTCAGCGGTCGGCACTCTGAGAGTATTACACGAGGCGGCGGGTTGCAATCTGCCACGCTGGAACCCCAGATTATTGCTTTTGAAACTACCCCCGGTCCTGCACGAGCCGAGGGCCAATAACGCCTCGCTTAGCCTCCGTTGTAGAGGCGGGAATGGGAAGAAGGAAGCGTTTCCGCTGCCGGAAGGTCTTCTCGAGCCCGCGACGCTCGGCGTTCTCGCCTGAATCTCCTGGAACACGATTTACACAGTTGCTCCCATACGCTACCATATACGAACGTAATTGGACATAGCAATAATAACCGTAAACTGCAAAAATTAGTATTGTCCTTCGCTCGGCGCTCGAGCGTCTTTTCACGAGCATTCACTTTTCTCGCGTTTCGTACCTGCTGCAATTCCGACTTAGTTGCCTTTTTCCGCCAGTAGTTCTGCACGGATCGTCGCAGGGTCTGCGATTTCAAGCCGTAGAGCAAGCCGTTGATGGGTGGCGAGCACGCGAGGAGGAGCGATGCTAAAGAGGCGAGCTTAGGATGCGCGTGAAGACGGTGCTGATTACCGGCGTCGCAAGCTTCCCAGAGGATGAGTCCGCAATACGGAAAGTAGAGCAGATACAGAGAGCCGACCAGTTGCATCACCTGAAAAGTTTCGTTTGCGAAACTGATACGAGAATCGACAGCGGCCGTTTGATGATCGCAGCGCGAGGCTATTTATCTCCATTTAGCGATAAACGCGCGCGGACGGATACATCTGCCAATATATCAAAGTTCAACTAATTATATTCGAAAATTGCTGGAACGGGTCCTCGAATAGAAATTAAACGGTGGTCCATATAATCACGAGACGCTGCGAGCGAGAGGAAGTTTCGGTACGTATGCACTTCGCCGATGCCTCCCAGCGTGGCGTCTATTGATTTGACTTGCTAACTCCGGGCAAGAAAATTAAATTATAGATTAGTCTTTAACTACGGGTGCTTTTTATTAGCCTTATTAGCTTAAATTAAGTGACTCGACAAAAGCTAAGTTGCTTATATTCTTGTTAAGGAAGAATTGGTTTTGACCGCGGAATCGTGAAGACGTTTTGGTACGCTGAAATAGAGTGTGATTTTTTTCATCCTTTCATGACAGGGGCTTTCTAACGAGAATAAAATATCAAAACTATAGTTTTCTTAAAGTTTACCGAGGTCTTTACGATTGTGGTCTCACAATTTTAAACTTTTAACATCTAATAAGGCGGACCTAATTAATATTCAAATAGTGACGCAATTTGCGTGAAACTTACTTTATATAAATTTTTGAGTTTTTAAAATTAGAATATAACCTTAAAATTACAAAATTCGAAATAACAGATCTATTCAGAACGAAATACGTTTAACTTGTTATATGTATATTCGAGTTAATGACATGAATTAATGGCAAAATGGTTTTTCTATTCTGGCGATCGTGGTGCCTTTGCACCACAAAATCAATATGGCGTGCTTAAATTTTTAAATAATGTAATTTATATGAAACTCTCATTTTATATAGGTTTTTGAGGTCTTCGATTCTAACCTCGGCTCGTTAAAAGAATTAACCTATATAAAGTGAGTTTCACGTAAATTGCATTATTTAAAAATTTAAGTCTACTTAAGGTGGTCCTTTCGCGGACCCAGCTAGTCAAGTAACAGTCCGTCATGAGGTAATTGAAAACAAACATATTGACAAACATTACACAACATCCCAATAATTATAATAATATAATATGATTTTACACGCACGATTTAATCGTATTTAATTATTTACTAATTAAAAAAATATCACAATAGTAGTGCGGTTGGACTCGATTTAGGTTAGGTCAGGCATGACAGTACGAGTAAAGCAATATGCGATTGGACCACTACTTATTTAACCTCATATATCAGAGCAAAACATTCGGCAAGCCCTTATTTTCAAGGTATATACGAAATCCGGAAACTTCAGGGAATATTTTAAGACATGAATAATGTATTCATCTGATCGCTAAGTACATGTATTATTCGTTGAAAACCTCGGACGTGGCGATTTGCATCATTCTATCTTTCTCGTTCATTAGATGTAAACAAGGATAGAATGACAATGGCACGCTCCGCGAACGCACATTTAGGCTGCATTCGAAGAGCGCGCTATTAGCGCTATTGCATCATTCTGTCTTTATCGCTCATCAGGTGTAAAACAAGGATAGAACAAGCAAATAGCGCTAATAGCGCGCTCCCCGAATCCAGCCTTAGAATGACTTATTTCTTGTAAAGTGTCGGTAACCTTACTTAATTTTTCGTACACATGCCCCTTATTACTGTATATTTAACATATATCAAATTTAGGTACCTATCTAATACTTGTTCTCACGAAAGGACCACCTTAAAAAAATGTAACCCTGGCTGAGATAATATTTTTCGCATAAATTAAATTAGTATTTAATTATTATTTTTTTGCATAAATAAATTAAATTATTTAAATAGAATGCTTATATACAGGGTGTCCTAAAATAACTAGACATCGTTTTACTAATAGATTCTGTAGAACATTTTAAGACGAAACTTCTTATGCGAAAATGTTGAGGCTATAATAATTTTTAAATAGGAAGCACTTACAGTTGATCAATCCGTTTACGAAAATCCCTAATACTTAAATATGTCATTAGACTCGTAAAAATGTCGACAAATTAATAAACAGCTATACGAGTCAGGCGCGGTCAGCTATACGCAGGCTGAAACATGCGTTTTTAACTATTATTAACCGGTTATTGCGATAAATATTACCACATGCCTTGGTAGTCGAATTGGTACGACGCCCTTCACGGAATGAGGGAGGTTTCAGGTTTTAATCCTGGCTGAAGTAATATTTCTCGCAATAAATTCTTTACAGTTTTTTTAAATAATTAAATTGCGTTGATTTAATTCCGGGGAGGAAAGCGTATTAATGTTCCAACGATAGTTGTGTTTCAAGTCCGATAAATAAATCGGCGCGCAGTTTATTAAGTTAGAATATTATGTATATGTATATTATATACAATGTAATTCGTTACTTCTGTTACGTTAGAATCCCGGAATTTACGAATATTGGTTTGAAGGATAGCGAAAGGCCATCCAAGGGAGGGGGTATGAGAAGACATAACGAAATCTTATGTTATTTCGGGTTCACGCTAGAAGGGCGCGTGCCTCGAGTCGAATGCACTTTTCGGGAAAACTCCAGTCGTGGATCAACGTCCAGAACTACTGAGAGTTTCGTGCGTTCGCGGTCCTGTTTTCGGTCAAGGATATAATATCCCTATTACCGGAGATCGGACCTTGTGCGATTTAGAGAGGTAATAGTGAGGGGTGATTCGTGGCACTTAGCGCGCACAGAATTGACTCGCGATTCTTAAGTCGCGACGCAACAGAAATCTGTTCTTTTAGTTTAAGTGAGGAGTACGGCTGACTGATGAATTGATTGATAAATACGGCTTCAAAGGTAGACTGTTTTGAGCTGGATCAGAAGTGACTCCAAGTGCGCAAAGTCGAAATTTTTATACAAAATTAAAGAGGCGGGATTACTTTTTAATCTAATTGGTGGAGTTCTCTTCCGATCGCGACGTAGGTTTTGATTTTCCGCTTATCCCCTGGCGAGTTTCCCCAAAAATCGTCATTGCCTATGAGCAATTTCTAATTAGCAGTTATTCATTGGCGAGTACGTTATCACCTTGCCCTTTGACAGTCCCTTCCAGAAGCTTAACTTTATTAATCGCCGCGAGGCGTGGGTCTTAGGTCAAATCCGCGTTTCACGGAAAAGCGTAAGATCAATTCGCCCGTGACCCGAAAGGTCACCTAGATCCTTATGGCATTTTTAATTTATTGCGACCTATGCCACGAAATTTCGAGATAATTGAAATTTCGTGCTTTATTTCGTGGAATTTCATGGAATGCAACAAACAAGTCTATAATTTGCCTATTTTATTAGGCTCGAATCTTCTGGAAGGTTTCGTTATTTTACTCTTTAATGAGCGATGACAGTTGGAGTGCATCCGCTTCGTCAATTGATAACCGCTATTTTATGGTTTCCGTCTATTTCGTGTGATAAAATGAGTGATTCCTCGAAAGAAAGAAATTGTGGAGTCAACTGGACGTAATACTTCTGTAACTATTAATTTCTTTACTTGCGCACCACGTACCGCGCCTGATTCGTATAGCTGTTTATTTATTCCCTAATACTTAAATATTTACCAAAATCAGATTAATAGTTTCTGAAATAAAAGGTCTGGTCCTTATAGGGGTCACCCATCCTGAAAGAGTTGGTCAGTTTGCCGTGTTTAGTGTTGCGATTTTGTAAATTCTATACAAAAACGTTTGTACGAACCGTGCTGGCAGCACTGTGAAAACGCGGCGGCCCGCCGGCGGAGGGTGCGGTGACAGTTGGCACAAAAAATGGATTTCGCTGATGGGTGATGGTCACCTGGGCGCTTAGAGTGACCTCGTAGATCGCGCTGGCGATACGGTGCCGATGGTACCGCGCTATACCCAGCACGCGTAAATTGCAGACCGTCACGAGAACGGCCGGCAGTCCCAGGCCCAGGATGGCGTAAACGGCACCGTAGAGCGCCGCGGCGGATCCGTTCCCGAAATCCGGGGCGCAGCAACCCAACCCTGGGCTATACCTGATCGATATAGATAGGATATTGGAAAAGAGAGAAAAAGAAAGAATCGATTTAATGAGCGTGATCTCGTTGTGACACGTGGCGATTTTGCGTTCGTATTAAGCGTACGATTGAAAGTAAATAAAACAAGACAAGGGTTCATTGAAACAGTTCGCAGTCGTATTGTTACAATTCGTTCTCTTTAACTTAACTAACTCACCGCCGACAAAAGCTTCGCTCGGAATGAGAATTCTTTCAGGCGCGCTTTGCGAGAAGCTAGCGCGGAAATTGTCTCGCAGATCGCGTGCCTTTATGCAACGCGAAACAACTTACTTTGACAAAGAGACAGAACACAGAGTAAATCGAATCTCGTTCATTGTGCGAGGAAATGCAGCAATTGCGAGGCAATGTTGTAGAACGTGCGAGCAAAGTTACGGAATGCGACGGTCGATTCATCGGTGTTGGTGTGGTGGTTAATGGTACATTAATGGTAACACGTATATACAAACTTATAAGGTGGCACTAGACCCGAGAACGGCGGCAAGCACAGGAGTAGAGCGCCCGTCCAAGAGGCAGCCAACCCGACGATCACGCGGCGCGGAGAGACCAAGGCGGCGTAGTGCAGCGGTGCGGCGATCGCGTAATACCTGCACAGAGTAATAGCGAGGCATGGTTGATGGAAATCTGCGAGACACAATTTAATATGCTGGCGCGGGATGAGTTTCACCCACGGCCGAGCGTTTAACTCTAACGATTTCACGAACGGACTCATTAGTTCCGGCTTGTCACTTAATCGGGTTAAATGATATGTTCGGCGATACATGCGAGATGTGTATCACGTCAGCGCTAGATGAAAAAAACTGACAAAAATGCAATGCTTTCCGGGCCGAGGAAATCCGGATGTGATCCTCGAGGAAGTTAAATCTCTTTAAATCGCTGAATAAAATATTCTGTGGTTGATCGATCCACAGGGCCTGGCAGTGCCTTTTGTGGAGGAGAAGAAGGAAAGAAGTTTTCTACATTCTCGGGTGTGTCTTCCGTATTTTCACTATTTTCTTAAAAGGTTTCGCGCAATGCGATGAAATTCACGGAGATTCGCGTACAGAAGGAAGAATACGAAATCTCAACAGAATTTTCAAAAACCGCTCTCTCAAACGATGTACTCGAGTACAATATTTACATCAAATAAAATTATCGGGTAAAATTATTCGACGCAATCTAGATTCGCCGTGTATTTCAAAAATTGCGTGACAGTTAATACGAGTTTGCGGCGAGAGGATAAGCAACAAGTAGAAACGGAACAACTAGGCGATTCTGAAATACAGACTGTATCGAACGAGCGTATCATATCATCTGACAGCTATGGTGATACTGTTTGAACCTGTGAAATTCTTATTTGACATCCTACATTGGATATCTCGTTGTCTTTTGTATCGGATGAAACCGATGCCTCGTTCATATTGCTCGCCATCTATCGAGATTTTTATCGAAAGATTTTCCGTAGGAGGAACTCCTTTTCGAGTCTCTCAGACTCTTCATTCTCAGTTTACTCAAGCAACAATGACGTTCTTCCTTTCCTCGGCAATTCTGTTTAATGGTATTTTATATTGGACGCACCGTAATTTGAAATGTGCATGTTGTCTATATTTTCAATAATATAAAAAATTCTTTAGGAGTAATTACCAATACCTAAGTGGTATCGCGAGAATAATGGTGATGCTAAGTATTTCGATCGGAAACATCACGTTCGAAAGCAACTATTTCAAATGCGCATTGTATAAAACGTGATATTACGCGCGATTGACCGGAGCATAATGATTAACAGACATCCTTTGCATGCATTTCATGCATTTACAAGTCCTGATGTATCGATTACCATTTATTGCATAGTCAGCTGTGTTGTACGCTTCGGTGTGAGCAACGAATTAAACGGAAAGCCGATACTGATCTTCATTCGTCCAGAAGTCTTCAAATCGTGCTCAATACGTCTTCGTATCCGAATATTAAATAATGATATTAGAACTGCGTTCACGTTAGACTCTTTCGTGCTGAAAGTATCATTCTATTTTTCTTTAAGGCTCCTGGGTTTTTTTCCGACATCTCGTGAGATGTGACGTCAGAAGCGAGAAATGTTGAGAATTGACACGTTGGGAATTTTTGCATATTATTTCCAAATAAAAAGATATTTGCTTAAAATAACACTACAGATCACTTCAGTACACTTCGAAAATACTCCGAGTTTAAGTTAAGTCCTTTTCCCTTGACAGTTAATAAACAGCCGTAAAATGAATGTAATACGAAACCTAGTCATGCGCCTGCGCATAAGCCTGCATCGTATCACATTCGTTTTACGGATGTTTAAGTAATAACTGTCAAGGGAAAAGGGATGCAACTCGGAGTATTTTTGAAATGTGCTGAAGTGATCTGTAGTGTTATTTAAAAAAAAATCTTTTTATTTAGAAATACCATGCAAGAATTTTCAACGTGTCATTTCTTGCTTTTGACGTCACATTCTAACATGGCCGCGACGAGTACCCAGGAGCCTTAACATTTAATGAGCAATAAAGATAAAATAATGCTCTTAACACAGAAGCGTCCAAAGCGAACGCAGTAGCCTAAGAAGACAGGATGTGAGACTCACCTGTCGCAGTTTAATCCGGTGACGGTCCACAGAGCAACCGGGTGTAACAACGCCAGTAGAAATCCGTGAAGGACGCACCACGTACCTGCGACCGGCCACGAGCCGGTTGCGAAAATCAGCAGTATCAGGCACACCGCTGCTTCCACGGCGCCCAAGTGGATCAGCAGTAAAGTATTCGACGTCTGCTGCTGCTGCGTCTGCGGGCATTGTGTGATTTGTTAATTCGCCCAATTCGGCTCTGCGTTATCATGACTTTCGGCGGCACGAGTCTCAATACTCGGCGGAATTTTGTAATTTAAACTTTTAACAGGTCTGCAAGGGATTGCATACCTCGGGTTTATTATTTAAGATTCTGAATTATTTAAGAGTTTTGTTCTCTCTGCCTTTCTCAGACCTCTCTCTCTCTCTCTCTCTCTCTCTCTCTCTCTCTCTCTCTCTCTCTTTTATGCGCTTGAAAGAGAGTATTCGACGGTATCTCGGAAAGTTGGAAACGAGTAGAGGGAAATAAGTAAATCCTTGCGCATCCGTGCTACCGTTTGTTGTAAAACGAAATCATAATTTGCATCTTTATCCTGATAAATAAATTTGAGTAAATAATCGAGCATACTATGCGTGTATACGTCTTTTTCGAAGAGTTTATTTTTTCTTTTCTTTCTCTTTTTGCAACTTGTAGTAAACAACCCAGATACGCTTTTAATGGATATCTGTTAACATCACGAACTCTTTAATAAAAAAAAAGGAATGTCAGGAAAGTTCACGCTTTATGACATTTGAAAAAGCGGTCTGTTGAAGTCTTTGACGTGAGTGATTGAGATAATTGCTCAAATAAATCGTGCGAATTTGCGACAGATTTTTTTGAAAATATTTAGAACATGTCGCATTTAATTGTAAACTATGGACTGATTTACGGAGAGAGCGTCAAAGACACGATCAGAAAACATATGATAGTAGAGAAATAGAAAGAAGTAGGAGAAACAGTATTTTGTAGTTGTTATAGATATCTTGTCGTTGTTATTCACCTGTTTATTAAGACTGAGAACGACAAGGAGAACGTAGCCATTCAGGAGAAGACCCAGAGTTGATACGAGGATGAGAAATACGCCAAAGGCCCAAGGGCCCATTCCTCTTCTTCCTCCCGTATGCTTTATTTTCTTCCTTTCGTTCGGGATTTCTTCTTAAGCGAAGAGAAAAATCCAGTTCAAGTGAATTTGTCGACTTCGTTGGGTCTCCGGATTCTTTTTTGCAATGTCATAATGGCGGTTCTGACTGAAAAATATAAAGGCCATATACAGTTATATATTTGCATTAATATTTGAACATCATGAAAAAAATAGTGATCTAAATTATCATTCTTTAAATAGTTTTTGTTGGATTAAGGAGTTTACAATTTTTTAGTAACTGAAAACGTTCATTATATAGCTTTTTGAAAACATTAATTTGATTTATTTAAGTAATATAGTTGTTTTTAATGTAAAAAAATAGTAGGTAAATAAGCTAATGCTTAATTCTGGGGTCGCAAAAATATTCACTCATACTCATTTAGTGATCTTGAGAAATCGATTAGATAATTTTTTATATACTTGTTTATAAACACAAGATGTGTAACTTATTACGTTTTATTTGAGTATTCACACGAATTAAGGATGAGAATGGAAAATGCAAGGCAGAAATAGTTTATTTTATAAACGCCAGCTTGTTATTTATTATTACGAAAAAGACAAATCGTATTAAGAAATCGGTAATTTATTATTAAATTTGAATAAGAGTATCACATTATGAAAAAATAATCGTATTGAATCGATACCTCAGAAAGAACGTCTAAAATTGTTTGACTTATATGGGAGTAAAATTGTTAGAAAAATAAAAGAGAAAATTCTGAATTAAGTTGACTACAGAATTATATGAAGAGACTGACAAAAAGTTACACACTGATACAGTTCGCCGAGCGTTGAAAAAAGTTTATTACAACAATAGAATTGCTCGTAAAAAGCCATTCATAAATAAGTTGAATCGGAAAAAAAAGATTAATTTTTGCTAAGAAGTTTATTTCTAAAGAGCACACATGGAGTAGAATGATACTGAGAGTAAATTTAACATTTTTGGATGGACGGAAAATGAACATGACGTAAAATAAACAAAGAACGTAAAAAATTTGAGGGTAACCATGATACACGATGGCGGAAGTTTAATGGCTTGGAGTTGTATTTCAAGAGCAGACAAATTAATTTTCATCGCAATGGAATTTTGGATAAAATTAAATATTTAATTATTCTAAAAGACAATAAAAAGTGCTAATATAGTAAGAATAAACGAGACAGTTTCAAACTTTATCAAGATAATGATCCAAAATATAAATCGCAAATAGTGTAAGAATATTTATTATATAATTGCTCAAAAGTAACACATCTACTACAGTCACCAGATTTAAATCTAGAAAATTTATGAGATTTATTGGATCCTAACATTTGGACTGCATCTGTAAGATCAAAAGAAACTAAAATTACGATTAAAAGAGAAGTGAAGGTGTATTACACCGGATTGTTTCAACAAAAATTATCTCTAACATACCGAAACGTTTGCAGTATATATATTATTAAACGAAAAGGTTACTCAACAAATTACTAACAATAAGCTTATATTATCATTTTATTAATAATGTATATATTGTAGAAGTGAAATATTACAAGCGCGAGATATTTACAAGATCGTTCACGTTTGGACGTTGAATTGAGTTTCGAAACATTAACGACAGATCACGCAATTGCAAACAACAGATGACCCTCGATTTGAGAGACGTGCTAAATGATAGCGAAAATTGAAAATAAGATCGGCGAATTGAGCACGGCTCCAGAGAATTATTCTCGTTCGTCCGTCGGCCAGTTAAGATCTTCTTCTGTAACTTACATTCTTTACTAAATATATGTATTATTATATCTTGTTAAGTATTTGAATATTTTTGCAATATCAGAATTAAATTTTTACTCCATATCTAGGAGTCTTTTGGGTCGCTAATTCTAAATCTGAAGTCGAAATTCGAAAATTCTCAACAGTTAACTTAGGATGGCAGCTCAATGCTAAAGTTTTAATAAAAAAATTGTTTGCTTCCTGTAAAAAATGTTCTGCAGTCAAAAAATTTTTCCTATAAATGACATTCCGAAACCAGGTATTCGGGGGTTTTTGAAATTGCTGATTTTGAATGTAAAGTCAAAATTAATATTTTGAAATCCAAAATGGCGGAATCAATATCCAAATTGCAAAAAATGTATCCGATTTACAAGAAACTTGGTACTCAGGAGTTTTTCAGGTCGCTGATTACAAATATGAGGGCAGAATTACAAAATTCAAAATGGCGGATTTAATGGCGCATAGAAATTGATTGCTTTTGTAATTTTATCCGCCATTTTGAATTTTATCTGCCATTTTCAATTTTGTAATTCTGACTCCAGATTCGTAATTAGCGATCCAAAAAACCCTTGAGCATTAAGTTTCATAAAAGTCCGCTGAAAGAAAAAATATATGCTTCAAAGAGTTAAGCATTATCTTAATTACTATAATATACTCAACACTGTATTAATTACATAAACTTCTATTTTATGCTTCGGACAATTTAATAAGTGTTTAAAAAAAAAACTGAACTTATTCCAATAAAAAAGTAAGTGTAGAGAGTAATAATTTTTAAAGTATCATGATGTTAGGATTTTAATGCGAATAGCTGAATAAATTTAATAAACATAATTTTTTCGATAATAAATATAATTTATCTAAATCTCTTTTAAACATATTTGCCTGCTGCAAAGTTGCTTATGCTGCTTGATCATTATTTCAGTCATTTTATTCTACAGTTCCATCGGAAACATGACTTGCATATCGTGTGAAACGATACCAAGCAAATCTCGTATTTACATCAAGCACGTATAGTGTGAACGATATTATCTTTAGCGGTACGCTTCAGGTCACCTGTCATTAGCATTAGCATTGTAATATCATATAAATATCGACATGTAACATAAGTTAAATTAGATAGTCAAGGACATCGTGAACACGCAAAAGGTCACATGTCCTGCTTGAATGTTGAACGACTCGTATGCGGTTGCGGTGACGTTGATAGTAATCTTTCAGTTTCAGTGAAATAGACATAGGCCGGATTTCTTACGCGCAAGGACATTCTTACGATTTTATGCATTTGGAATTTGATATTTTCGAGGTGAATGGTTGAACAAATATCTGAATCTTAAAACTTTCAATGTAAGAAACTTACACACTGTCGCACGATCTTTTTATAAGCGAGTTGGAGAACTATTTTGCTGTATAGATAATATAGATAATATTATAAGCTGCATAAGATAAGATAGATAAAATTATAAGCTTAGGAAGGGAGAATATTGCGTATTTATATACAATATAATAACACTCTTTTTGATATAAAATACAAGGAATGCTCTCGTTGACTCGCATCACCATCTGGCATTCAGCGACGCCAGAAAACGCGTATTTTCCGCCACATATTGTTTTGTGGATCACCAGCAACAAGCAGTTGCCGGGTGGCATAATTTGATTTTGACGGTGCCACGGCAGTTCCATTATCGACCATTAGCGTATCTCCCAGTAGATGACTACGTCGATACGATTTGCCGAGACGTGGCTGCTTCAATCGCCTAGCATAGTCTGCCTTCGTCTCGCGACGAAGGGAAAAGGCGACCTCGTTCGCCGTTGTTGAATTTTACAGCGTCGACTATTAATAGTCGCTAGCCTACAATTTAAATTCGGGATCCAAACCATAAAACATCATGGTACACATTGACGAAATTGTCCAGGCTAAGCGTTGAATCAGCTTAGACTTTCTTAAACATTTCTAAACTCTCTAAAATTAACAACGATAATTTTGACTGTTGATCCAATCAAATAAGCCTCTTGCGTTGATATTATGCTACGGATAATATTAAAATTCAGTAATTGACATTTATAAACTTCACCTTTCGACAACTGCTGATATTATAGTCCGACTTGTTTCGAAATAGTTATGCAGTAATTTGTAGGTTACCGCATAACTAGCTACAGCGGAATGCAAGTAATTCCCATTAAAACCCTAAATTCCGATAAAATCTCGTCTTCATAAACCGCCGTCCTTTCGAACACAACACACATCGATTCCGCAAATATGGTGAACGGGGAATTTCATTCAGAATTCCTCCACTCGCTTTCATATATACGTGATTGCACGCGTTACATAGGTATTTACAAGAATTTATTGGATACTCGCTAGCGATTGTATTTCCGGTACGTTATTACCTCACGTTTCTAATATAAATTACAAATGCTTCGAGCTAAATATAGAGATAATAAGTTCGAGGTAAGTCAGAGCAGGCGCGGCGTTTCAATGAGGCATAAAAGTCGAAATGATAATCTTATTCGGAAAACGCGATGGTAAGAGAACATTTTCTCCCGTTTTAGATGGCTTCTTAATAGATTATACCGAGTCAAGAGACCAGATTATATAGGATTCTTACCTTTAAAAAGTTCTATATCGATTTTTTAATAAATTGCTAAGCTGAGATTGCAGATCTTATATCTTTATAGCCTGTTTCAATTTTTAATCCGTGTTCCGTGCTACTTTTTTCCCCACCCCTTTATTTACCATCAGTAATTTTAGTTTATATAATGTTCTTAAACGTTTAAAGTGTCATCTAAAAAAGAACTATCGTTGCGTAACATGGCACAAAACGAGTCTTTTAGTATCGTTTTAGGACCATTTTATTGAGAAATCTCCCATTGTCGCAAGACCGTTAAGTCCGCACGTAATTAACCACAAAGTTGAAAATTTAGGAACATCGTTAAAAACTGAAAATGTATGTTATTAATAAATGTGCGCGTGCAGCGATACACGTGTAGCGATACACGTCCTAAATTCTAAACTAGTGACTGAGTTTTAATTTGTCGGTCAATCTAACGCAGAACAATCCGGAAGTTTCTCCCGTTTGATGATTAATGGGCGCGGATGAGCGAGGAGGATAATACGTGAGGGCGAGTGTATGCGCGACGGAATAATAAATCTTCGCGAATGCATAATCGCGTGTTGTTTAGTGATCGATTCTGGTCTCTTGCAATTTTATTACCGAGTGCGGCTCTTTCCCGCGGGTTTCGGTTAGGTATATAAAACGCAATTCGTCGCATGTTTGTTTATGCGGATAAGTGAACGCGACGGTACTTTGCGAAATGGAGACAGTGATTCGTATTCAGAAACGACGGACCTATCGCGGCAGATAA